AATGGCACTGCTGCAGGGAGGCTACAAATGACTGCATGACCACTCCAAAGGAGATGACTCTCTAAAGGGAAAGTAACCAGTGAGTACTAGGGAAACAATTTGAGTGAATCAAACTTAAAGTTGCAAAATATCAAAGGACACATTATACCAACCAGTACATGTGCCTCCAAAGTTTCGCTAAAATTTATGTAAGCCATATTAACACATTTTTAATTAAGAAAGGCTATAACATTAATCTCCAAAAAGAAAAAAGAGTGTATCAAATTTTCTGATTAAAACATAATTACAAACTATTAACCCACACCTTAATTTGGCTGTGTTATTAATATAATAGAACCCTAGAATCATATATTTGTTTAAAAGCCACTAGAAGGCATTACTCAGCCAAGAATCAAAGTTGCGCATTACTACAGTGATTCCCAAAGCTTTACAAAATGGAAGCCAGGACATGATGAGCTTCCATTCAGCCCCAATTGCACAGTCTGCCTATATATATATCAGACATCACAATGAACTATTGCTCAGCATGTAGCACTTACAGGCAATCTTTGCAGACCTTCCATGTCCTGCTGCAACCACCTAATTCCCTGCCACCATCAATGGGGAACAAAGCATGCCCTGTTCAGAGTGGGCACCAGGTTGGGGCATCTCCATGGCAAGTCAGATTGAGAAGGGTGCTGGCACAGGGGGATGTGCTGTGGTGTGTAGCTCCCAATTGAGCACTGGGAAATGAAAAAGATCAAGTGTAAGGAAGTTTCACTGGAGACCAAGGACAAGATCATTCACACCACTGTATTCCCAATCCCTGTGTGTGAGTATGAAAGCTGACAGGAAGAAAACTGATGCTTTTGAAACATGATGCAGGGGGAGAGAATACCTTTGATGAGAGGAGGAGGAGGAGAAGATGAAGAAGTAGAAAATGATGATGAAGAGCATCCCAGATCAAATTAAGTCAGATCTTGCCCTGGAAGCCCTTTCATACTTCAGGCACATCGTGAGAAGGCAAGGCTCACTGGAGAAGATGATAATGGTAAGGAAAGTCAAAGGCAGTAGAAGAGGAGGAGGAAGAAATATGAGACAGATGGACTCTATAAAGGAAGCCACAGCCTTGAGTTACAAGAGTGGATTGGGCCTGTCCAGGATAGGACACTTTGGAGACCCCTGATTCATAGGATCACCACAAGTCGGAGACAACTTGATAGCATGCAATAACTAAGAGTGGGCAATTAAAAGTAAAATAAATAAGCTTGGGTATGCTTGACAGCTGTGTGTGTGAATGCATGTGCCAGAATGCCTGATGCTTCTCACAGTGCACACATTACCTTGTAGACAAGAAGGATAAGCACTGTTAGCTGAGCATGAGTGCTTCTCCATTGAAAATAATTCAGTCTACACAAGAGACTAAGAAAGGTTAGGTTAAGAGCCTTTTCCCCAAAAATGAGTGGGTTTGTGTTTGTATGTAGGTTAGAATATTCTGTTATATGCCCCTTCACTTGCTATTTGAAGTGGTACAATGAACAGAATAACTTCCGCATTAGCAAGTAATCCTGTCTTTCTGTTTTAGCTCTTCTGTATCACTCAAGTGAAATGTAAATGGATGGATCTATTTACAATACAACTGTATACATGCAGCCCAGAGTCAGTGGTCAGCATGTACAGGCACCAGAGTATGGGCTTGGGGTTCAGAAGGGCCCAGTCCACCACCAGACACACAGCACTGCCAGGGCAAACTGGGGAAGCTATTGCTGTAAGCTGCTGTTCACTTGCGTATATTTAACCCACCAGCAGTGGCAGCTGTACTTCTGCACAAAATGAAGTTGCTTGACTATGTTTCACAATAAGTGACTGTCACCTTGAATACTGCAAAAACTCCAGCTGCTGTCCAGAAAGTAAATGGAAGGCTGAAGTGGCTGATTGCAGGAAAGGGTGTGGTGCCCAGGCTGGCATTAGGTGGAGCCCTTTTGGTGGCACCATGCAGACAGTCTAAGTCTGGAATTAGCTCCTTTTATATGCCTACTTAGAAATAAGTCCTGCTGAGCATAGAGTTTATGGATAAATTCTGCGGATTTCTATTAAAGCAGCTACATGTATCTATATCTTTATTGTTTCTAGATGCAGATAGTGGTGTGAAGGCAGCAGTTGTAGTTCTATCTCTGGGCAGTGAGGGAAATTAATGCATGTGTGTGTGGGGCAGGGGGGTGCTATTTTACTCATGTCCTTCTTATGGGCTCCCCACAGGTAACTGATTGACTACTGTATGAACACAATGCTGGGCTAGGTAGGCTTCCAGCACTGCTCTTCTAATCTTATGGAGCTCAGCAATATTCTTGACAGGAATCCCTTGGGAAGCCCATGTATGTTGCTGGGATTGCAATACAAAGAACAATGGGATACAACTATAATAAATACCGTTGTGAGTCTGTTTGTCTTGGTTATTGTGAAAAGGTCTACATCAGGATTTTGGCTAAACTAACACCTGATAGCTCTCAGAGATTTAGAGCATAATCCTATGCCAATCCAAAGTCTGGTATCAAGAGCCAGACAAGGTGACAGGAAAGGTGGAGGTGACTTCATCTCTGTCATTCTTCATTTGAACATTCCAATTTGGAACACCCCAGTTCACCTGCCTAAGCCCCTTGACTGAGCAGGAAATATGTAAAGGATGCAGTGGGTTTAAAGTCAGGTCCAACGTCAACTGGCCAGCAGTGTCTCTCTGTCTTGACTCTGCAGTGCTAAACTTTGTGTTGGGCTAGTGGGGCAGTTTAGGGATTCTGCTGAAGTCTGGCCCACCCCATGACCCAGCTGTCTCCCTACCTGAGAAGAAAACATGGGGGGCGGGGGGTCAGTTGGCAGCAATAAGGAAGAAGGCCTTCCCAGTGGCAACAACTCAGTTATGGAACAAGCTCTCCACTGAGGCACCAGCTGCACTATCCTTCTGATGCCAGTTTAGAACTCCCTTCTATGCCAAAGCATTTAACAACTCTAAAGAGTGCAGCAGAGTGAGGGAGTTATTGTAGTTGTTTTAACAGGTCTAGTCTTACTCTAAATCTGTCTTAGTTATTTAAGTTGGTTACATTTGGCTTTAAACTCTGTTGTGAAATCTCAAGATGGTTTATTGTTATTTGTATTTTATACTGTATTTTATGAATTGCAACCTGCATAGGGAGCCTCAGCTATTGGGCAATATAATCACATTAACACTAGCACCACCAACAACTAGCTTTTTAAAACAAATATTACAAATTACCAGTAATATGTGTTCAAACATATATATTGGGTAAAAAGGAAATGTTTGCAAGGACAGTGTTGCAGATATAAAACTGGACAGATATAAAACTGGATGATCTAGCATTATAAAAAAGTATTGGTGAAATGAGTTGCATACCTGCAGCAGTGCAATATTTTTTTTACTCCTGACATCTTCTGGTTTAGATGAAAAAGTGCAGCATTATATATAGCACAAATCTAAACAAAGAAACATCTCATGCCATGTAAAACAAACTACATTTTGAAAGATATGAGCAGTCTTAAATGGATCCTGTATCCTAGGCACAGAATTATTTACTACACTCTCTGTAACACACCCAGAATCTAGTCCTGCTTTCTCTTGCTCCATTGGCAGAAGCATTATCCAACCTCTTATCAAGGGAGAGTTAAAATAGCAAAACAATGTATTACAACATTTCCATTTAGCCCATTGCAAAAACTGTATCAGCAAAACACTGATCATTTGCCTGACACACTGAATAGGAGGAAGAAACAAGGACAAATTCAAACTTGCACCATTAATTTTTCTAATAAGGAGAGAACTGCTATCCCTTATGGAAGAAAGAAAGAGAGGAACCGATGTGAGTCTCCACTTGAAGGCCATTTAAGAGCCTCAGGGCAAGAACAGTGGGTTACAGCCAGAAATGCTCACCTGCCAGTAAAAAAGATAGAGTGGTGGAATAGATTACCCTCCCCCTGACCCCCCCTTGACCCTCCATATCTGCTCTGGAGAATTAAAGACACTCTTGAACAAACTGGGGGAGGCACAAGGGTGGTGCAGGAGAGGGGAGAGAATCGTAAGTGCCACCGTGAAGTCAAAGTTCCATGACATTGGATGTGGCCTATTGGAAGATTAGGAAAAAAAAATATGTGACAAGCCAAAAGAACAGGCATGAGGAAAGTCACCTGGACATCTCAAAGAGCTCTCTTTCCAGCTGACCTGTGCCTACTCCAGAGGGTGGGGGCACTCAGATGTGGCTACCAGTGACAACCTGAGTACTTATAACTTGATTTCCAATTTGACCTAAAATTTCCAAAAGAATAAGTAATTAAGTGAATTGCTTTAAAATCAAACAGTAAAAGAGCATCTGAGAAACAGTGTAGAGGTGGTATCCAATTCTGCCTGTGTGCCAGTGAGACGCACTGCTGACGTGATGGGAAACTGGCATTTACAAAACCAGGTGGAATCAGACCAAAGTGCTCATCACAAGAACACAAAAGTTCAGTAGAGCCAGCAAGAAGGAGCTCTGCTGACTTATCCCATCCCCTCAATGAGTGTCCCAGCTTGTTTGCAGAGTTGCTCTGGGAAACACTAGTTGCCTGTTGTACTGGCTGTGGGCCCTGCTGGTTGACACATACCCAGTGGATGTGCAGCAGCAGCTCTGGATATTGCTAAAGCAAAGCACAGCACAGCACAGCATGTAAAAGTAGCATGACTAAGTCTAAAAATAAATAAATAAATAATGTTTGTCCCACTCTCCACTCCATATGCTGCAGTGAAATTTCTTTTCTTCTCCTTTTTCCATTTTGAAGGAACTACCTGAAAATTCCTGAAAATGCAGTGCTGTCATTCCCAAAGTGGGATGCAGTCCCAGCTTATACTTGAAACTTCCTACATAAATAGGAAGTTGCATTTCCATGAGAGCCAATAATCTCTTTTTTGTTTACTGAGGAGTGAGGTGAACAAAATCAGTCAAGAAAATCACAGTCACTTATCTCTTTAATACAAGGGTGTTCAATGTCATGATCCAGACTTGGCTTGGATATTCCAGTTTTGAAAATACTCCAGTACAGCTGCTTCTGTCACCTTGGGCAACTGTATATAATCTTCTGGAGTAAAGGATAACAGACAGCAAACAAATAAAAATAAGCTTATGGGAAGAACTATTAACAGAGTTCTGAAATGACTTTAGAGGATCAAAACATTCTCAGAATTGTAACCCTGAGTTTTTTTGATGCCAAACTAGTTTAAAGAATATTTGAGTATCTCTTGGTAAACACTGTAAAGAAAAAATACTGTAAAGAAAAAAGACCAAAATAAGATTGAGATGCTAAATCTTTCTATGTTGCTGAGCTATTGATAAGGGTAAGGACTTTGTTTTGGAATGTTCTTCTATGCTTTTCTGCTTCTGTATTCATCTGGACTGTTCATCATACTCATGATAGCTTGGGAGTTACGGAAATTATCAAGCATCAATAATCAAAATAATTTAACCCAATTCCTTCTTGACCAGACACCCTTCTACTATTAAACTTTCCAAGCTGTCTCAGTACCTCATGATATTCTGCAGCCTTTTGTTATTATTCTAATGCATATTCAAACTATATGGCGATGAGTCTTAAATAATAACTGAAGAATAACCTCCCAGTGGACTTCCGGTTTGGCATCGGGACGAGATGGCTGTGAAGAACGGGAGTTCCCGTTATCATGCCGGTATCTGTTCGGCAGTGAGCTGTGTGAGGCTCATCTAAGCCCTGTTGGGATGAAGATTAGATTGCCTGAGCATTCTTTTGGTTGGTGTGGGGCACCTACTCCAAATCTACTGGGAGAAATTCTGGGCCCCCTCCCTCCCTGGAACACCTGCCGCTGCTGCCACCAATGGCCACCACCGAGGAAGACCTGAGGTGCACCGCCGGGCCCGGGGGACAGCTGACGCCACTCCCGCAGCCACCACTGGACCATCCCGGGGCCGGAGGACACCAGGGCCGCTGCGGCTGCTGAGGAGGATGCCATCTTGCTGGCCGGCGAGTTCCCCACATCCGCCCTGGCACCCCCTCCGCTGGGGTCAGTGAGAGCAATGCTGGATTGGGGGCAGGGCGCGGGGACAGCTGCTGGCATAACTTGCCAGACGTGGCCGAAGGGCGATGGCCAAAGAGCGGTCGCCGCCGTTTGGGACCGTTCAGGGCCATGCGGGGGCTGGGCTGGCTAGGGACTCTATTGGTGGGGCAGAATTTCGTGTTGGGGGGTAGACGGGAAGTTTTGAATTGTTTTAACATTTTATTGTATTTTAACTTGTTTTTACGGATTTATTCCTGGCTATGTCGACTGTGAGGTTGCCTGGGGAGTGCGTGGGCGCCACCATTGGGGTGGTCTTGGGCAATGGACGTTATGGCGGTGGAGGTTTAACGTGTCTGTGTAGAAGAAGGAGGAACAGATGGTTGACACCTGTCCCTCTTTCTGGTTTTACCCCCAGCTGGAAGATTGCAGGTAGTCTTGTCAACTGCCCCCCAGGCCTGACAGTGCTGCTGCTTAACGCCAGGTTGGTCCACAACAAATCATCCCTCATCCACAACCTGATTGTGGATGAGGGGGCCGACCTGACTTGCATAACAGAGACCTGGGCAGGAGGGGCGGGGGATGTCTCCCTCTCTCAAATGTGCCCATCCGGGTATTGGTTCAGCACCTTCCAAGCCTGGAGGGGAGGAGAGGGGGGTTGCTTTGGTTTACCGAGCTTCCATCTCCCTCACGGGGCTTTCAGTCCCCTTGAGACCGGGTCTAGAGTACCTCTACTTGGTGTTGGGCAACCAAGACAGACCGGGGATTCTGTTGGTGTATCGTGCACCCTTCTGCCCAACAGACCCCCTGCCTGAGCTGACGGAGATCGTCTCGGGCCTGGTGTTGAAGACTCCCAGGATGCTGGTCCTGGGGGACTTCAATCTCCATGCCGAGACTGTTCTGTCCGGGGTGGCTCAGGACTTCATGGCCTCCATGGTGGCCATGGGGTTGTCTCAACATGTTGTAGGCCCGACCCATGAACGTGGACACACTCTGGACCTGGTCTTCTCGATGGGGCAGGAAGAGGGTGATCTGAGGATGAGGAATTTGTGTCTGACACGCCTGTCATGGTCAGATCACTTCCTTGTGAAGTTTGAGCTTGAGAGCAGCCTTTCCCTATGTAAGGGTGCGGACCCGATTGCGTTGGTCCGCCCCCAGAGCCAGATGGATCCAAATGGATTCCTGAAGGCCGTGGGGGAATTTCCGGTTGACAAGACTGGTGCTCCTGTCGATGCTCTGGTCGAACTATGGGATGGGGAAACGACCAGGGCTATTGACATGATCGCTCCTAAGCATCCTCTCCCACCGGGCAGAGCCCACTCTTCCTCTTGGTATACACCTGAATTATGGGCAATGAAGCGGGTCAGGAGACGTCTAGAGTATAGGTGGAGGAAATCACGGGATGAATCTGATCGAAAAAACTTGAGAGCCCATTATCGGGCTTATGCTGTGGAGGTGAGGGCGACGAAAAAGAAATTCTTCTCCGCTTGCATTGCCTCCTCACAATGCTGTCCGGCGGAGCTTTTTCGGGTGGTACAAGGGCTGGTTCATCCTGGCCCCAAGAAAGACCCTGTACCGCCCTCGACGGCCTGCTGTGACGACTTTGCCAAGCATTTTAAGGAGAAAATCACTCAGATTCGTCACGAGCTGGACTGCACTAGTAATTCAGAGCCTTCAGGGGAAGAACCAATGTTGCTGCTTGGTCCTAATTTATTGGATGAGTTTCAGTTATTGCGGCCTGATGACATGGACAAGGTGCTTGGACAAGTACGTCCCACCACCTGCCTATTGGACCCTTGCCCATCTTGGCTACTTACCAACGCCAAGGACGGGATAGGGACCTGGATCCTGGAGGTTGTCAACGCCTCTCTGAGGGATGGCCGGGTACCTGCCCCTTTAAAGGAGGCGGTAGTCCGACTAGTCCTAAAGAAGGCATCCCTGGATACAGAGATGGCCACCAATTATAGACTGGTGGCCAACATCCCATTTTTGGGCAAGGTGTTGGAGCGAGTGGTGGCGGGACAACTCCAAGCACTCTTGGATGAAACTGATTATCTGGACTCATTTCAGTCCGGCTTCAGACCTGGGTATGGTACTGAATCTGCCTTGGTCGCCCTATATGATGACCTGTGCAGAGAGAGAGACAGGGGGAGTGCATATCTGTTGGTCCTCCTGGACCTCTCAGTGGCTTTCGATACTATTGACCATGGTATCCTTCTGGATAGGCTAGCGGAACTGGAAGTTGAAGGCACTGCTTTGCAGTGGTTCTGCTCCTATCTCAATGGCTAATTCCAGAAGATGGTGCTGGGGGACTCTGGCTCTGTGCCATGGCAGTTATGCCATGGAGTTCTGCAGGGTTCCATTTTGTCCCCCTTGCTATTTAACATCTACATGAAACTGCTGGGAGAGGTCATTAGGAGGTGTGGGCTGCGGAATCATCTTGTTTTCAACCAATGCAGGTGAGGCAGTGGCTGTACTGAACCGGTGCCTGGCTGAGGTGATGGGCTGGATGAGGGCCAATAAACTGAAGCTCAATCCAGACATGATGGAGGTCTTGTTGGTAGGTGGCTCAGGCTTCGGGGAAGGGGACCTTGATCTTGTCCTGAATGGGGTTGCACTCCCTCTGAAGGACAAGGTCCGCAGCTTGGGAGTGCTCCTTGATCCAGAGTTTTCGCTGGAAGCTCAAGCAACGGTGGTGGCAAGGAGCACTTTCTTTCAGCTTTGGCTGATTCACCAGCTGCGTCCCTACCTGGAGAATGACTGCCTGGAGGCGGTGACACATGCATTGGTAACTTCCCAACTAGACTTCTGCAATGCGCTCTACATGGGGCTGCCCTTGAAGACGGTCCGGACACTTCAATTGCTGCAAAACAGAGCTGCCAGGTTGCTGACGGGGACTGGGCGTTGTGCTCACATAGCTCCAGTCCTCCATCAGCTTCACTGGCTCCCCATTGAAGTTTGGGCCCAATTCAAGGTGTTGGTTATCACCTATAAAGCCCTTAACTGCTTGGGTCCTGGTTACCTAAAGGAGTGCTTACGTCCATATGTGCCCTCCCGCCCCTTGAGATCAGCAGCAGAGGCCCTTCTCCGGGAGCCCTCCGTGAAGGACATTAGGAGGGTGAGCACCTGGAGGAGGGCTTTCTCTGCGGTGGCGTCCAACCTATGGAACGTGCTCCCCAGAGAGGTCCGCCTGGCACTGTCGTTATTTGCTTTTTGGTGCCAGGCCAAGACCTTTTTATTTAAATGCTATTTTAACTGTTGATTTTATTTATTGATTTTAACAACTTTGGCCAGGATGTCTCCAACTGTATTTTATTGTACTAGTGATATTTATTTATTTGTAAGCCGCCCTGAGGCTTAGGCGAATGGGGTGGCATATAAGTCTGCTAAATAAATAAATAAATCTGGGCTTTTCTCAACCGGACAATACAGGGGAGAGTTCAGCTCCCTACAAGTCTTCGACAGCTGGAAAATAGCTTAGAAGATTAGCTAAAAACTCATCGGATTTACTGGGTGAGCATTTTTACTTTTTATTTTCTCTCTCAATACTACCCATGAAAAAGCTACAGCTGTTACTAACTGGCACAAAGAAGAAAGAAAAGCCCCTTTGATGGAGGGAGGAATCCCCCCCCCCCCACAGAGGTCTAAGTGGCGACTGATATGGGGGAGAGGAATTGAGGTTTTTTTTGGAGAGTGGAAGCTGAAGGGAAAGACCTCCTTTTACTAACCTCCCCAAGGGCGAAAAATCAAAATAAATAATTACTGTGGAATTATGTGATAGAAGGACAAAATTTGCTTGCGGAGTGGCCATTTCGGCCATCTTTCTTTCTTTTTCTTGGACTCTTGCCAAAAACAACTGGACGCTTGCCAAAGTAATTTTCATACTGAGATGTGACTTCCTAAGAGAAAAAACAAGCATGTGTCCTTTCTTCTCTGCTGTGACATCATTTCATAATAGCCCTCTGCTGCCATTCTATGGCTATTGGAATTATAGCAAGTTCCTCTCTCTCTCTTTTTCTCTTCCCTATCTCTCTGCTGCTGTTTTGAAATTTTT